GGTGGCTACAGGAGCATATGCTTTTGTCAAAACTCAGTACTGTACACTAAAAACAGTAAATTGTACTGTATTTTATCATAATACAGTAAATTTTACTGCATCTAATCATTTTTTTTTTTCCTTTTTAGTGGTACTAGGGTTTGAACTCACGGCCTCACGCTTGCTAGGCTCTACCACTTGAGCCACTCCACCAGCCCTTTTTTGTGATGGGTTTTTTTCGAGATAAGGTCTCTAGAACTAGTTGCCCCAGGTGGCTTCAAACCATGATCCTCCTGATCTCTGCCTCCTGAGCAGCTAGGATTACAACCGTGAGCCATCAGCATCTGGCCATATATTATTTTTTAATGCAAGAAAAAGAATCACAGAAAAAGACAAGTTCAAGAGTTTGGGGATTCTGGCCTGGGCAGCTAATGACGTCGCTATCTGAACATTCTTCAGGCCTAAGAGACAGGCCAGAGACCAGACTCCAGAGTGAGTGCAGAAGCAAGCTCTGTCTTCACTGTTGCTTTTTTTTTGGCTTGGCTGAGCACTCAGGAACTGGCCACCAGGGGGAAAAAAGCATTTAGGGGAGTTGGAGGTGAGCTCTCAACAAAGCCCAATGAAAACTACAACACCTCCTTAAATCACAGCATCGAGCTGAAAAGGAACTAAACACACCTCCTACTTCCTGCATACCAAAGAGCAGTATTCAAGTTTTTCTTAAAACAGCAAAGAAACCAGGCAGGATGGAAGGGAGCTAGGACTCTCCAGGCTGAATCACAGACTCCTGTAAGAATATAGTTCTATTAGTGATCTCTTTAAAGCAGTATGGCAAGGATTAACTAACATCATTTCCAGGCAAAAAGAAATCTAGTAAGTAAATTTGGTTTTTACATTAAAAAAAAAAATAATAGTGTCCTGATTCTGCCTACCCACTAGTAGAAGAAAACCAAAAGAAATGTAAACAACAAAGTTATAATTTGCATTTTAAGGAGAAAAAGTGGGAAAAAAAATAAACACACTTTCCTTGTCAAAAGTTAACTGCAATGGAAACAATATTTGAGTAGGAGTCAGTATACCTGGATTGGAATCCCAACTCTACAAATAATCTGAATGTTAACTGGCTGACAAATGCATATCATTTATTCTCCCTAGCCTGGCAATAAAACAGGGATTAAAAGGGGATACAGCAAGTGTGAGGCCCTGAGTTCAAACCCCAATCCCCTAGGTACCACCAAAAAAAAAAAAAAGGGTGGGGGGAGGAGATATAACATGTGAAGTTTATTACACGATGTGAAAGCAGAGCCAGAAACAGTAGCTCAAGCCCGTAATCTCAGCCACATGGAAGGCAGAGGAATGCAGTTCATGACCAGCCTGGACAAAAAAGTTAGTGAGATCCCATCTCAACCAACAAGCTGGGCATGATGGTACACGCCTGTGGTCCTGACCTGGTAGGAGGAGTAGGTAGGATCATGGTTTGGGGCTGGCCCAAGGGAAAAAGTGTGAGACTCTTATCTGAAAAATAATTAAAGCAAAAAGTGGCTGGGAGCATGGCTGCAGTGGTAGACTGTCTGTCTGCCTGGAAAGTGGGAGGCCCTAAATTCAATCCCAAGTATTGCCAAAAAATAAAAATAAGTAAATCAGAAATCACTAAAAATATTACAAAAGTAAAGAACACCATTAATACCACTATCAGTTAGCCTGGCTAACAAAATGGTAAAATACCTTAACCAGAACTAGGTAATTAACCAGAATAACTCCACACAAAAATTCTAAAGGGAGAATTTCAAGATGTTGATTTTGCTACATTTTAAGCTGATACATGTTGTAACATTTCAACATATTCAGGCACCTAGACAATTGGGTTGTTTCTGGTTTTTGGGCAGTACTGGCATTTGAACTCAGGGCCTCAGGCTTGGTAGGCAAGCACTCTACCACTTGAGGTATGTCCTAGCCAATAAAGATTTTTTTGTATTGTTTTTAATAGCCTGCAATGTGAAAAGAAAAGATCTAACTTTTTTTTCTTCTACTTATTTTAATGCTTTATTGATGTATGACTGCAAGAGATACAAAAAGTGTGTATATGTATGTATATATACACATGTATACAATTTGAGGAGCCTGGACATATGTATACACCTGTGATACTATCACCACCAAAATCAAGGTAATAAACCTATCTATCATTTCCAAAAGTTTCCTGTGCCCCTTTTTTCTTTTTGTGGTTGGACTATTTAGTAAGACCCTCCCCCTTGGCAAATTCTAAGTGTCCCACATGGTACTGTTAGCCATAGGTGCTGTCTATAATTTATTCACCTTGTGTACCTGTAACTGTACCACTGAACACTCCCTCTCCACTTCTCACTTCTCCCCACCCCTTTCCCTAACAGCCATCATTCTATTTGCTGCTTCTGTAAGTCTGACGATCTTAGATATCAACAAGTGGAACCGTGCTTTACTTGCCCTCTGTGACTAACTTACACTAAGCATAAACTCTTTCAGGTCCATCCACATCATTCCAGATGATGGGATTTCTTTGGTGTGTTTTGTTTGTATTTTGTTTTTTTTTAAAGCTGAATACTAATTCTGTGTAAGTGCATACCACATTTTCTTTACTTCTCAGCAGCAATTGGGTTTGTTTCCTTGTTTGGCTATTGTGAATAATATTGCAATGAATGTTGGGGTGCAGATTCCTCTTTTGAGATCCTGATTATAATTTTTCTGAATATATACCCAGGAGTGGAACTGCTGAATCTTATAATATTTCTGCTTTAAATATTTTGAAGAAACCAAGCACAGTATCTCAAGCCTGTGATTCTAGCTACTTTGTAGGCAGAGATCAAGAGGATTACAGTCGGCCAGCTTAGGAGGGGAAAGTTCACGATGCCTCATCTCAACCAATGGCTGGACATTGTGCTGCACAACTGTCATCTCAGCTATGTGGGGAAACACAATGGGAGAACTGTGGTCCCGGCAGCCCAGACATAAAGTGAGACCCTATCTCAAAAACAGCCAACGCAGGGCTGGGAGTATGGCTCAAGTGGTAGAGTGCTCGCCTACCAAGTATGAAAGTGTGAGACCCTCACACGCACAGGAAATCAATGTGAGTCAATGCCCTGTATAGCTATCCTTATCTCAACCAGCAAAAACCCTGTTCCTTCCTATTATTGCTTATACTCTCTCTACAACAAAATTAGAAATAAGGGCAACATAGTTTCTGCTGGGTATTGATGGGGTGGGGGGGAGAGGGAGGGGGCGGAGTGGGTGGTAAGGGAGGGGGTGGGGGCAGGGGGGAGAAATGACCCAAGCATTGTATGCACATATGAATAATAAAATTAAAAAAAAAAAAGTGTGAGGCCCTGAGTTCAATCTCCAGTACCACCAAAAAAAAAGAGGAATGTTGCTTTCCACAGCAGCAGCACCATTTTAGATTTCCACCCACAGCATTAAAAGGTTCCAGTTTCTTTACATCATTACTAATGCTTATCTTTTTTGGACAGCAGCCATCCGAGCAGGCATGAGACGGTACCTCATTGGGGTTTTGCATTGCATTCCCTGATAATTAGTGTTGTTGAACACCTTGTCCAGTACTGTTGGCCATTTGTATGTCTTTTTAAAAGAATGTTAGAAAGCGAGTAAATGCTCTGGAAAGATAAATAGAAAAAGCAGGGGGGAGACAAGAGAGAGAGAAGGCTGGACTTTACAATAAGGTAGGGTAGATTTACTTGAGAAGGTAACATTTGAGCAAAAACCTATGGGTGTAAAGGAGTTACCCATGTAAGCATCTGGCAGTACATAGTTCCAGGCAGAGGAAATATCCAGTCCAACTGCCCAAAAGAGAGAGCATACCCAGTACTCTCAAGGAACAACAAGGATGTCTGTATGGATGAAGAGGAGTAAGACAGAAAAGGATCCGGGAGCTGAAGTTGGGGAGGTAAAGAGGAGATAATCTTGTAGGACCCTGTAAGAACTCTGGGACTTAGAAAGCTATGGTAGGGGCAAGGAGAGTGAAAAGAATGACATGTTTTGACTTACCCTTTACAAGACAAACACTGCTGAGAACTGACTAAGGAGAGGGAAGTCAGTGAGTCAAACCAGGAACACAAGTGTCTAATACTAAGGCAAGAGATGGTGGCCTAAATGATCATGAAAGCAATGCTGACAGTGAGATATGATGTTTTCTGACAATAAAGCCAGATTTGCTAACACAATGGATACTGGATATGAAACAGGAAAGTCAAGGATGCCTCCACGGTTTTTGAACTGAGTGGTTAAAAGGGTGGAGTCTCCAACAATCAATGTGATAGACTGTGGGTAGAACAGACTTGGAGGAAATCAAAGGAGCTCTGTTTAGGATAAGACAGCTGGAGATAGCAAGTGGGCTACTAAAGAGACAAAACTGACTTTAGGACAAAGGTCTGGCCCAAACATACATTTGGCAATTTTTAGGCATACAAATAGTAAGAGCTGGAGGTGTGGCTCAAGTGGCAGAGCACCTGTCTAGCAAGTGCAAGATTCTAAGTTTCAATCCCAGTAATGCATATATACATATGCAACCATGAAATTCAAATTGCTAGAAATGCTGACATCAGCCACCCCTTTCACTGATGGAGGTAAGTGGAATAAGGTCCAGAGAGAGGTAGTGCCATAGCTAAGGTCAGATACATGCAAAGCAGCTGTAAAAGAGCTGACATTCTTCTTAGCAAGGAACTTCTTGGGAACACTGAATGCCATCTAATAATTAAACAACTATTCTTTGAAGGTTAAGTGAAAGCAATTCAATTTCCAGAAAAGATTCCCCAAGCACTGTGCATAAGGTATGGAACTGTTTTCTTCCCCTTTCTCAAAAAAGCTGTACACAGAGATGTTAAATTCCTGGTATGTTGTGGACACTCCACATGTTTACCAAATAAGTTAGCAAATCTGCCATTAAATTAATAGCCCAACCATACTGTGACACTATTTGAGTATCTACACCCCACTGGTCGATGTGGTTACGTTTAATTAAATATTTTGCTTACCTGATATTTAAGCCAATGAAATTTGTCCATGTGAAAATATAATCTCCACCAAAGACCATTCCAATATAAGTTATCAATATATTCTAAAAAGATAAATTGCAATACATTGTTACATGGGTTCAACTAAGTTTTTTAATATACATATAAACATATCCATGATGTGACTCAAACACCTATCCTTAAAATACAAAACCAAATAAGCCAATAGTAACAACAAAAATCCATTGACCCTAAACTGCAGTTCAAAAGTAGAAGTCAGAAAAATTATAGGTACATATTAGGGTAGCTTAAGCAAGGTTTTCCATCAGAAAAGATACCAACCTCTCCCAAACAGAACTTACAGGAAGCACTGAAGAGCATCCTGCTAACTCAAAACTGAAAGTATAATTCTCACATTTCAGAGTACCTGGAAACCTTGTTAAAAATAGATTTTCAAGCTCTACTGTACAGATGTGATTTAGTATATATGGGGTAAGCCCAGGAATTTCCACTTTTCACTAGCTATTCTAAGTGACTTTCCTACCACACCAAAGAGAAGATGGGAATCTGACCAAGGGTTTCGTGGGATTGAGATTCTTAGTCATAATAGAAGGAAGCTTAAAGTGAGCTGAGCTAAAATGTTGTTGATGGGAAGCCAAGGAAAGAAGTGTCACTGAGGCTTCTGACCAACAACGGCTTGGGTGGATGCCCAGATGTCTATAGGTACAATCCATCCTTCCATAGAGAAGGGAGGACCGACAGTGAACTGATCAGAGGATCCGTTTCTTTCCCTTCCTCTACAGTTTGAAACTAATCTCTTTGAACTGAGTAAGACAATGGGGTTCTTGGACTACTATGGGAGGAGAGTATATCAAAAAAAGTCTGGACTTTAATGAGAGCATGACTATGTTTATATCCTATGCTGATCATAGTAAAGTACATTAAGAAATTCCAAGCAAGTGTAGGATTTCTTGCACCATCCTCCTTAACTAAAAAACATGGTGCCAACTGCCCTCTCTCATGAAGATGCAAGCCATCCACGATGCTCCTGAAGCATTCACTTTGCACAATGTATCATAACACAGCTGAGAGCTAAAGTGGGGGCTAAGACTGTCAGTCAGCCCAATCCACTGAGTGCAAATTGTCTGTAGTGTTCTTGGACAATTCACACAATTACCACTTAATTTAGAATTTCATTCATGCCAAACACTCCGATTCCATAATTTGAAGCTGTAGATTTTCTGGGGTTTTAACCCAGTTTCTAATATGAGATTGGGTATACCCCTTTACTAGGGGTACAGAGAAACATAACAGATAAAAAAACTTGGTAGAAACAGATTGGTAAAAACCTCTGCAACCCCTTCCCTCACTGTTGACTCAGGAGGCATCACAAAGGAAGTCCTGCCCTCTTTTTCCCCAAATGATAATGGACCTACCCCTCTGTGTCTTGCCTTTTTAAGAAAGCAAACCTACTCTGTTAATTCACTAGAATTTGGACATGCTGTGACCTCCTTAATCTTAAACTGAGCCTCCAGTTATAATGGCTCAGGCGTCAGCAAACTTTAGCTTGACATTCAAGTCAACTTGGCTCTCCGACTGAGGACAAATGAGTCGTCCTTGAATAAAATGGATTAGGAGGAAATGACATCACTGGAAATGTCAGACACAGCTTTTAAAAGTGGGCCATTTAAGGTTTGGCTCAGGCATAGGAAAACTCCCGTGATCAGTTTCTGGCAGACATCTTCTCCCACACAACAGCCAGAACTCAGTGAGACAGAGAACAGAATGACTCTGGTTAGGGGCTAAAGGGATGGTCTATCACTACCGAGTATTCCTCTGCCTATTCCTCTTCCAGCTAAGTTACCTGCAAGTAGAGACTATGCCTTCCTGAGTTCTTAAAGACTGTCTAAGAAACTATCACCATAATTTGTCAAACTAATAAGACAGTACACAACGAAATAAGGAGATGAGATTTGAGGCCATACCCAGATTCTTATTTTAGCAGTACAATTTTCAAATAAAGCAGATACCAAAAAAAGATTAAAAAAATTTGTTTTAATCTCACCTTAATACAGCCAACTATTGTAGTTGTAAGAGCAGAATTATACTGAGTGCAGAGTACTGTGGCATACATCAAGATAAACCTGGGATGAAGAAGGAAAGTTATAAGTAAGATCCACTGCTCTAGCCAATAGGAACAACCAGTATTAGCCATACTAGTACATTCTAATCATGACCAACTTTGAGCTCTCCCCACCTCACTGCTGATTATGTTACAGCTTCAGATTTTTAAAAATTTCACTGAAGAGAAACACAAATCCATTTCCTGACCAATTGTTTTTCCCTCCTACCCTCACCAAAACCATGAAGCTACCATTCATAATCATGAGAACTCTTCAGAGCTCATCCTTTCTGCTAAGTCAGTCAGAAAATTCAGGGCTGGGCTCAGCTGTAGACCTCCCATGAGGACAATGTGACCTCCGGGCTAGGATGAAGGTAAGAGAGCTTCTTACCAGTGGAAGAAAAGCACATTAGAACTACTTTAGGAGGGGATACAGGTTCATCTAACAACTAAGCAGAAGCACTTGATGAGTTCCCAGATTTATACTGAGGCCCCACGCTGGCTTCAGGACTAAGGCAACATGTCAATGGTATTCTGAAATATCCAGTCACTGTGCCAGGTCCAGTTACAAACTGCAACCTAACTGATGAGCTGACGAAAAAACACATGAGAGAAATACTGAGGTAAGAAGAGGCATGTTTGCAGAAACCCTCTTACCTTCTACGTATTCTCTTCTAGGAAGAAAACAATATGGAAGAGAGAAGTCAAACAGCCCCAAGTTAAAACACTGCCACTGCCTTCTACTAATTATACAAACTGAAGATAATGTACTTAAGGTCTGAATCCGCTTTCTCATATGTAAAGAACCAACAAGATATGCCAAATAGTGCAGAGATAAAATAACGCAGATGGTATTATAATGGTGCTTATCACACACAGTAAGGTTTCTCTATTTTTCTAAGCATGACTTTGGGATTCGCTCAGCAGCCCTGAGAGCACATTCCTAGGGCTGTGAAACCAATGGAATCTGGAGGTTTAGTTATATCCTACGTTGACACACTCAGGAGACCTAAGGGGCTACTAAGAAATGAGGCAGAAGGACTCTAGAAAAAAAACTTCTCTAACCTACTTCTTTAGGGAAACTACATGCTAACAAAGTAGCAAAGGCTCACCCCATCACACAGGAGAGGGTGAACTGCAGAAGAAAGAGGGTGTCGGCCCAGCCTTCAAACTCCATTGCCTGGAATACACAAGAAGATATTAGATTTTAAAGCAGGTCCTCAAAATCAGCTGTCTCACTCATTAATGAAAATCCCTCTATGTGTCTCCCTCCCATCCCCCCTCCAAAAGGAAAAACACATTTCCCTGTATCACTCCAAGGATAGAGAGTGATATTCAAGAATTTCAAATATATGGACTTGAACCAGTTTCTACAAGATTTTCTTCTATCCAAAATGTAACTGGGTGGGGGATTTTGTACTTCCTCCTATAGGTACAAAGAAGTTGATAATCTTCTTGACAGCACAAGTCCCATCTGCCTAGATCACAGGGTTCTCCCAGATGTTGTTAATGTGTTAGAGTTAAAGGCTTGATTAATCATTAAATACATTGCCTCCCTGTAACCTGGGAAGGCTCAAGCACAGCATCAGTTATAGAAATGCAGCTGAAGTCAGTTTGGTGAGAACAGATTAAGTTTTGAAACAGCTGATCCTAAATGTAAGGTGTTTTTTGTTATTGTATTTGTTTAAAAGGAAAGGATCAAAGAAAAATGAAGGGGGCACAGACTTTCATTTAAGAGGGAGGGTTTTTCTCACAGGCTTTAGCAATATGAGCTTGATAAGCAAGTGGGAAAAATAATCCACCTTTTATCTCTGTCAACTTTTCTAGCTTCACCACTTTCATATAAATCTCCTGGCTTCAGGGCTCCAGAAATATCAGATTCCTTGTGGTTTTTGTCTTTGTCTGGAATGCTCTTCCCTCAACACTGACTTGTTCAGCCACCACCTAAACTAAAGGTGATCAAGTACTTTCCTTGCAGCTGAGTACTTCCCTCCTTCTCTCTAGGGCTCTTATCTCTTAGCCTTTGTGTGTGTATATATATACATACATATCAAATCTACAGACTGAGCTCCTGTGGGGAGGACCCACCATTTATCTAATTGTATTCTTAACATGATACTTAGCAGACAGTAATCACACAGTTTCTTTGACTTTTTTTTCTGTTAAGGTATAATATACAAAATTTGTTAATCCAATGAGTACAATCATGATGAGGTAATCTCTACCCTCCCCCAAAGTTCCCTCCTGTTCCTTCACAGTCAATGCCCTCTCCCATTTCTAGCCCCTGGCAAAGTCTGATGTACTTTTGTTACTACAGCTTTGCTGCGCAACAATTTCAGGCAAAGTACTTGCACAGTATGAGTCTTTTGTGTCTTGCTTCTTTCCCTTGGCAGAATGCTTTTGAGACTCATCCATGCTCTGTGTATATCAGTAATTCACTCATTTTTATTGTCAGTTAGAATTCCATCTCATGGGTATAACACAGTTTGTTCAGTCACCAGTCAACAGACTTTTATTTGGGTTGTTTCCACAATTTGTCATTATGAATAAAGCTGCAATGAACCTTTGAGTAAAGTCAAAGTCTATAGCCACGTTTTCATTTTCCTTTATTTTGGGTAAATAGTGAAAACATAAGGCTCCTGGATATTTTAATAAGTTTATCTTTAACTTGACAAGAAACTGCCAAATCGTTTTCCAAAGTAGCTACACAATTTTACACTTTCATCAGCACTGTATGGGAGTTCTCATTGCTCTACATTTTCACCAACACTGAGAACTGTTACAGGTCATTCTAGCAAGCAGTAAGTGGTATCTCATAATTTACTTTGCATTACCCTATGGATGAACAAGGTTGAGTATCTTTTAATGTACTTATTGACCTCAGTATTTCTTCTGTCATAAAGCATCTTTTGCCAAATTTTTATTAAAGTTTATTTGTCTTCTGCTGTATAAGCTGTAAGTTTTTTTAACACATTCTTGATAAACATCCTTAATTATCCATATAATTCACACACACGGCCCAAATACACATAATGGGTGACCTAGAAGTGAAAAATAATCAGAATTATATAGCCAAAGCCTCAGATAAACTTTTCGTATCTCCAAGCTCCCTCCTTCCTTTAACTCTAAATATATCCTGTATTTGGTGTACAATGTGACACCTATGAAGCCAGGTTTGTGGCACTATGCTGAGTAGGATCAGATGTGTTGATATTCAAAGAGCAAACCAAGGTAATAAAAGTACTGCCTAATATTTATGGAGGGCTTCTGCATTTATCATGTCATCTGATTTCCACAAGAACCCTGTGAGGAGGCAAGACCAGATCTGATGATCCCAAAAGACATCAAATGATCATCTTTAGGTCACACAGTTGACATCTGGTAGACTTGAGTTTACATACTCCAAGGCCCAGGCTGTCTACAATGAACATTACATTTTATTTAGACAATTGCTCCAAATATATACTGCATAGTCCCCCTTTGGGGACGTAATTATATTTGTAGGATAAGAAAACAAATCTCATGGATATGATTCCATTTATCTAATATTCAAAAACAAAGAAATAAATTTCATGGGACTTTTCCCCCTTTCCCTAAGCATTTGGTCTGCTTCTGGGAAGCCAGTCTACATGGTATAGTAACCTGCTGCATTCCTCTGCCTTGCCGCAGGGATAGGTCTTTGGCTGCAATAGAACACTCTACAAACATTTGAAAGCATAGCTGTAGGATAAATATGACCCAACCAGCCCCTATAATACAAAGGAGCCTACTCTTCCTGCCAGAAAGGCAGCATTAAAAAAAAAAGGCAATAAAAACTAATGCTTATTAAGTGCCTTAACTATGTGCCATGCTCAGAACTGTTAAGCAGCATATCCAAAATTATCCACTAGGGAGTGCATGCTCAGCTCTACGGCCCAGCCTTTCAAGACAGAAACAGGGACCTTAACTCATAACCCGTTACCCACCAAGAGCCTCTCTCCACCTTTGTCAATAATGTATGCGATATACCTGTCCCTCCTTGCCTTATAACGAGGAAAAAAAAAAAAGCCAGCAAGTGTGAGATGGCACCATGATGTCTCCAAAAACAAACAGGTCACTCATCTATTTACCTGGGAAAAATCTCCTTCAACCATTAAAAGAGATTTCTTAAAACTACTATCCTCATCAAATAATAAAAATTACCAGACCTCACCCTATCCCAACAACTCAGTAAAAGGCCTGTTCTTTTCTCTGCTGGTGGGCAGCCTGAATCTCCTGTACTCTGTGTCATCCCCTTTTCCTCAACTCTTTTCTCCTTTCAACTAAAATTCTAGACTGAGATAGTTTTCTGATACTATTCCCATTTGTACTACTGGGAAAACAATAGGTTCTTAATTTTTTTTCTTAATAGTTTTACATGATTATTGTTATCAGATCAGTGACTCAAAAAGGAGGAGTTCAGCCTGGGAATGGAATTCGGTGCTACAGTACTTGCCTAGTGAGCATAAGACCCTAAATTTAATTCCTAGCACTGTAAAAACAAACAAACAAAACAGGAATTCTACTTCTAGCTCTGCAACTAACTTTCTATGAGGCCATAATAAAGTCACTTAACCTCTATGAGGTTCTACCTACATCAAAAACGTAATAAACAGTCTTTCCATCTGCCTCTTGTGAGGACCAACTGAGAGAATAAAATAAGACACTTTAAATTTATACACAATTTATAAACAGAAGATTCTATTATTCCTGTAAGATTTCTACCACTGTTATCTCTCAGTAGATGTGTAAGCAAAATTTTAATTCTCCTTAAAATAAATGATATAGAAGGCACAGTGACATTGTACTGTTAATCAAGGAAAAAAAAAGTTTGAACAAAATAAAACTGCCTCTAGAGAAAGAACCATTATAAAGACAATGACCTGCATGGTCATTCTGTGTGTGACACAAAACTAAAGGCGATCTCTGCCCAAGATCTGCAATCTCCAATCTTGGTTGGGTGATGACTGTGATTACAGACGGAACACAGCTTCCTTTTGCTGCAGTGTTCAGTTCTAAGGGTGGAGGTGGTATCATCGAATACCAAGGGCCATACACACTACGGGTGTATAAACAATCCCACATACCCAAGGCAAAGGTTGTATGGATCTACCACTTCCTGTGACCAGGAAGATCTTTAATTAAACAAAATACTCGAAAATAAAGTTTAAAAACTTTGTCCTTTAGTTGCTTAAGTTAAATAAATTAACAGAGAAAGGGAGTGTCTGAGTAAGACCAGACACTAATGCTACACAATCGATAACAAAGCTAAAATCTATTTCAAGAATGCAACCCAATTTTGCTTTTGTACCGGCTTTGATCAATTAATTGTGGCTTTCTGAGCCACTGTCTTTGCAAACAGTCTGAGACTATGTCTAGGCTCAGTTGGAAAGTATTGTGACTATCTGGATGTCTACAATGAGCACAGGACAATAGGCACACCAATTTGCTACCCTAATCTAGGGGAGAAACATGGAAGAATTTCAATGTGCACTTGAGTCTCAAGATGCAACCATTCCCACTTCCAGGAAAATTTGCTAAGCAAAGTCAGCAACTTATCTAGAAGTGAAGTAAAATCCAAAGTGTGACTGAAAAATTTTTGTTAGTGTTCTGTTGTTACCTAGCAGTTTACCTCACTTAAGCTTTGATATCATGGTAAAGAAAAAGAATTGATAAAGGATTCTGTTCTACTTTGAAATTACATTCTCAAAAAAAAAACACTATTGAGAAAAAAAAAAAATTAGTCCATACCCAAAAGTAAGCTGCTAGGAAACTTGCTAAGGCAGAAAGAAGATAATGGAGGTGGTACAAATGATCTGAATGGTTCTCTTCCTATATGGGCAATGTGGTCCTGGCTACCCACCCTACCTCTGCTCTCTGCTCTGCTCTGTTGCCACAACCTCTCCTGCTCTGCTCTCTGCTCCTGGAGCCTAGATACATCTATCTTCATTGCCTCTCTACTCACTAGGTTCTGCCACCCATGAAACCTACTTATGATGTCAAAACTATAGTCTAGTTTACCAACTATGTCATTTCCTCCTACTTAAAAAAGCACAATCCTCAAAAACAAGAATGACTACAAACTTTACTTTGCAACCAAACAATATACAAAGAGAAAGATGTATTTATTTGTAACTAAAGAATAACTGACTCAACCCATTT